GACAGCTACAAATGAAGTAAGCGCAGCGAGAGAACCAATCGGCATCGCGGAAAAGCGACAACAATAAACTTCGATAGATTCAAGTATCGACTTTACATCTCTTTTTTATATATATTTAGAGAGAGATTAGAGAGAGATTAGAGAGGGATGGATGGATGGATGGATGGATAGATGGACTTTTTTAGATATGGACTACAAATATATGTCCTATCTCTTTCCAGCAAAAATTGTTTTCTCCAGAGATTTATTTGAAATATAATTCGCGAGATAATACCAAATCGATGATGTTTCAATTTCCAATAAATCTTTTTTAGATCCCTATCATTGTAATTCTTTATCTTTCGCAAGACAGCGTGGTCCTTGTATCTCAGCATCATAATTACAATGAATAATAAGAAAAAAAACGTGCGAAAATATATATACCTCGTTTATACGTACATGCCGTCATCGCAAATATGGCATTGCGCTAGAAATTAAGGTAGCTCCATTTATAGCATCGAGAATTTTTACAACGGCGCGTCTAGATCCGAATAAGTCGCATTCTGCAGAAAGATCTTATCCCTCGCGAATATCGCGCTCAAGGACCATCCGGTAAACATATCATCGCGCGTGTTCTTCATTGACAATGGGACTTAACATGCGCATCTTCACCGCTAAATCTGGAAGTGCCGAGGCTTGTCTTTGTCTTCGCGAAATAATTGTCAACGATTTTCATGTAAAATCCGTGAGAAAAAATACATGACAATTACAAACAATTGTGGCTCGAGTATTTTTTGTTCCAAGATAATTAGCCTATCGCGCATAGAGAGAAATTCCTCAAGAATTTAAAAAATGTACTTAAGACGAAAGATCAACAAAATCCTTACGCATTTAAAAATGTATAAATAATTTGCGTTATACATATAAATAAAGACACACAATCTATTTGGACTAGAAGTCACCAACCTATGGCCCGTGAGCCGGATCCAGTCCGCCAAGAAAAATTTCGACGTTATACAATATATATATATATATATATATGTTCTTTGGTTCTGCGAATCGATCGTTGCTGCATCTGACTTTTATAATGTAAAAAAATTTTTTTAATAAAGATATTTTATTTTTACATGATTTTCAAAAATAAAATTTATCTGGGCTCTTGGTCATTGCAAAGATTCCCCTCTTGACAAACAAGGTACATACATTAGACGCATCAGAATAGTAGTTCATCCTAGATATAAAAGTAATAATATGTAGTTTTACCGCGTATATTTAAAACACTCCCGTAATAATCGCAACAACATTCGCGCAAAGTTCGAGCCGTAAGTTACGTCATGATCCATCGGAATTTGTACGGCTTCCAAATTCTTGTCTTTCCGAGTTAAATCAATTATCGTCTATTTTACGCGGCTTCCGAAAGGTCACGCCAGCTCAAAGATCTTGCCGTTCCCGCTGTAAAAATTCGGATACGTTACATGCTTTCATTTTCCTCCTCTTACGCGTGTTAGATTTCGCGCGCGCGCGTTACGTAATTATATGCAATTAATATAAAAGCATAATATAAAACAGTATACAATAAACAATACAATGAGAACAAAGTGTAATGCTTTTATTCTTTCAAAATAGGCTTTTTTTTGGAAGGTGAGAGAAAAACTTGAAAAAAATATCTTGAGTAATTTTACGATATTTTTAATCGCGAAAGGAAAAATTTGAATGGTAAAAGATCTCTATCCTGAAAGGATTAAAGACTGATAATACAATTAAAACGCCAAGCCGTATGATATATAATATCATTGATATTTTATTAAACCAACAATATGTTACCTATATTTTTAAACGTTATATTTTTTTAGATAAAAAATTACATCAAATGGCAATTAATTATGGTAAAGATTGCAATTAATTTAAAATTTAAAATCATGGATCGCCCAGATCGTCTTTCGTTTCTTATTAATAATTGATTAACAAATCATGGATCGTCCTGACCTTTCTTTGTTTATTGTTAATTAATTAATTAACTGATTAACAGAATTATTAATTAATTAACAAGATTAATTTAATTAATTAATTAATTACAAGCTTCTTTGTGCGGAAAGAACGGTATTTCTCTCGCTGCGCAATTTAAACAACTTTAAACTAATTGTTAATTGAAACAATTCATTTCAGTTTATATTTCAAATGTTAAATCAAATTAAAATAATGTTTCTTTGATGCCGCTACGTCAAAATACTCTCGCGCAGCAAAAAAATAATTTCTACGAACACAAAATCTTATATGTATATGTACAATTTTTCTACGTGTATGTCTACAGAATCTTAAGATAAGATATCACTTATCACTTAAGATATCACTGCGTATCACAGAACAAGGTTACTTTGCGATTTTAAAGACATTATTCTGCGTTAAGGAACAACGCAAAATTATTTTATTTTAAAGTTTTGATTATATACGAAAGATTCACGCGTCACTTTTATTTTAATATAAATGCACCGGGTTTCTTTTTTACTTTATGAAATATGAAATATTGTATATTACAGTTACAGTCAAAAAGAAATCTCCCTTTATATAGCATAAAATAAAGCTCGAGATGCCGACTTCGATAATCATATATGTACATACATACGCAATTTCTAACAAGTGTTCAACCATACAGCTGTAATTTCCCTACCCAGCTAGAAACGGATAATGGGGCGATCCAAATTCGCATATTGTACGGATATATTTTCGAAAAAGATTATTCCGAAAGTCATTACTTAAGTTTTAATTCAATTTCAATTTGATTAAGGTGATTGGGCCATGTACCATATGAGTCAATATAAGGGCTAAATTTTATTTTAAGAAAAACCATTTTTATGGATATATTCTAGACATTTGTATAATTACTGGTTTTATAATGTAATTTTTCATTCGATTACGTATCAATTTATCTACTGATAAATGTAAACAGTTCAAGATTTGACTTCAGTTGACATTCGTACAAGAGAAATGTCGCGACATTGCATCTCTTCGCTGTAGGCAGCTATCATGCCAGTGCCATGTGTTTGAGTGAAGTTATGTATTGTGTTTATGTTAAAAAATAATGGAAGGTAACAAACAATTTCGATAACGGGAGATTTGCTTGCAAAAGAATGCTGTGGAAAGAAAACACTACACGGCGCGGCGTTGCCACATGTTTACGTCGCGTGATCGAGTTACAGCTGATCGAAAGGCCGACAAGAAACGCGACGATTCATCAACTTTTGATTGAATTTTTGGCCTTATTACACGTCAACGTCGTTTTGTCTTATACTTAACAAGTGCTAGAAGAATCAAATAATGTTATTTTCAGTTTTTTGAACTTGTTTCTTTACAGACAGTGAGTGAAATTCTCGAAAAATGTATGTTTCCGGTACAATTTCCCATAAAACCTATGTTAAAATGCCAACTTTGAGATTTAATATCTCAAAAACTAGACGTCAGATCTTCTCAAAATTGCAAATTTAAGCGTATTTAGGTTTTTTTTATAACATATATTTAATTCGGATTTTTTTCTTTAACATGCTCTGATGGCCCAATCACCTTAAATAATTCGAATGCATCTAAGTGAGATGAACATGTCAATCTAAGAAAACATGCAAATTCCTCTTCTTTCCCCCAAATTGATGAACTTTGAATTGAATATTGGTTATGTATATTAATTATGTAAAATCCCATAGAAAAGGGTATGACGTAAAAGAACTTGGCCAATCGCAGACTTTACGTTCGTTTTCGTTACGCCAGTACAGATTTTACGCTGGTTGTGCAGCATCCCAGCGTTTACACAATGCGTTACTACAATATGATACACACAATCGTAGTACACGCATATGTAATGTTTGTTTCATGTAGAGGAAAGGACCCGATTATGAGATACCATATCTATTTTGTGTGATTGCCGGAAGTCTATGGGCAGAATTGAAAAATATAGTAGGTCATTTTGAAGGGAATTTAATAAGCTTTAAGATGCTGAAATGTAAAATTTAATTTAAATATTAATTTTGCTGAAAATTAGAAAAATGTGAAAAATGAGCTTTCGGCAAAATCACAAAAGTGTGCTCCTAATATGAGAGACCCCGGGAAATCGCTAATAAAGTGCAAAATACATCAGTATTACTATTAAAAACCTTTATTTAATGTTTCTCAAATACACATGTGATGCAGAAGCATATTTGCAACAATCGCGTAAACCTACTTATACTCAATACTGTACCTAAATCTTCCCCCTCCACCCTTCCTTCTCAAATCAAGGTCAGTACAGCCTTATAAATTCGTATAAACCTTCCCTTAACGTTAATATAGTATTTTCTTTTTTTTTATTACTATACAATAACTTTCATACTCCAGCAACCCAGGAGTACCCTGAGTATCTCATGTTACGAGCACCACGCCTTGCGGTTTCACGATCACCAAATTTAATCTCTACAATTGAGCAACTCAACATATCCCGTATTTTCTTATTAATACGACCTTACTCTATTACTGCATGCAGAACTTCGTGCCAAATATTTATTAATTATATAATAAACAAGGTTTAAAGACTCATATCCATGATACTTGACAACATCCAATTTCACAATTTCTTTCTCTGCAACGACTACACGCACGATCAAACAATGAATTTTTCACTAAATAGGTTTTACCCCAAAGGCAATAAGTTCATGGTGGAACCAACATATAGGGCCTATTAGTTTAGCAGAAACCTCGCTGTCGCATATTAGGAGCCTATCTCATAATAGGGGGCTTTCCTTATAAATGTATATGTTAAAAAATCACGCTGAAAGTTTCATCGGTGCTGTCTCATGGAGTTTATTTACACAGGTGTAATGAAAATGAGAGTAAAGCCTATGATTGGCCAAGTTCTTTTATGCCAAACGCTGGTACGCCATATACTGCTTCATGGAACTTCATTTTTCAGGGACATAGAATATATATATATATATATATATATATATATATATATATATATATA